TCGAGCCCCAGAGTCCGTGATGGTGACAGGACCCCATCATCCGGATCTTGAACCCCATCATGGCTTTGCGATTGTGTGCATGTGTGTTTTGCAGAGAAGGAGCCCTCAGTTCTGAGAAAAGTACTATTGGAGGATGAGGTCTTGGCTGCCATGGTGTCTGTCATTGGCACTGCTACCACCCACCTGAGCCCTGAGTAAGTGTAATCATGGATGTGGCTTGAACCCAGGGAAGATAGCATTCTTAGGAAGAAGCAACAGGTAGCTACCTTGTCAGCTGTCCTTTTACCTGTATGTAAATGTGGGTGCAGTTAATTATCTTGTAAGTTTTGCTGACAAAGCAAAAGGAAGGGGCTCTTAGCACCATGGAGTATGAGGGTGGGAAGCCATGGGCCAGTGGTTCTTAGCTGCAGATGTGCTTAAGAATTACCTGTAAAGCATTTTAAAATATAAATTGACTTCCCAGATGGGAACTTGAGTGAAAATGGTTACTGGCACATAGTATGTGCCAAATTAATATTTGTTCAATGCATGAATGATCAGGGCATGTCCCATTGACTTGGTGATCCTAATTTGAACCCCAGGTTGAAAAGCACATCTGTGAAGGAGAGGGCTGCTTTAGAATCCTAGCTCCTTGGTCATACCTAGTACTCTACCCCCAGGTTAGCTGCCCAGAGTGTCACACACATTGTGCCTCTCTTCTTGGATGGCAACGTCTCCTTTCTGCCTGAAAACAGCTTCCCGAGCAGATTCCAGCCATTCCAGGTGACAGTCTTAGAACTTACATCTTTCAAGCTGGTTTTCTAGGGCAATCTGGAATGGGTAGGGGACAGACAAGCCTACTGCTAGCAGGACAGGCTTGATCGGGCTCTCCTTCCTTTATAGGATGGCTCCTCAGGGCAGAGGCGGCTGGTTGCACTGCTTATGGCCTTTGTCTGCTCCCTCCCTCGAAATGTAAGTGAGCACATTTGGGGAGTACTGTTTTTAACCTTGACAAGGGGAAGTGGATCCCAAGTGACTCTGGGCTGAAATTTGCCACAGGCTAAGCTGATCTTTTACTTCCCCCATCAGAGAAGTTAGTTCTCATCCATCCTGGCCCCTGCTGCCACCGTGTACTGGTTCTCTTGGAGTTCAAGTGTTCTCTGGGTCCATTACATGGCCAGGTTTTCTGTAGGTGGAAATTCCTCAGCTGAACCAACTCATGCGGGAGCTTTTGGAACTGAGCTGCTGCCACAGCTGCCCCTTTTCTTCCACCGCTGCTGCCAAGTGCTTTGCAGGACTCCTCAACAAGCACCCTGCAGGTACTGAGACCAGACCATATAAGCAGCCTCCCAGAATCAACTAACCATGAAATCTTCTAGCTCAGTCCTCATTCTCTTTTTAAAAGGAGCTTGCTAATAACATTAATAGGACTTCAACTGCTTAAGCACTGTCCTGGGCCTGCCCTTGGGAAAGGCATCGAGACCAGAATTGGGCAGAGCTTTATAGTACCTCAGAAGAGAAGGGAGCACAAACAGAATGCTGCATCTAGTTCTGCCATCCTACCTGCTACAGTGGGGCTAGTGTGGACAATTCTTTATTAGAAGTAGACAACCCTCTCTTTTTAAATGGCAGCACCCCTGCATTATGAGAATAATAGGCTCTCATGCAGGAGTCCTGTCATTTTGTCCACAAGTGAAAATGATATTTTCCCTTTCTAACAGCTTCTCAGGGAGCTCTGCACTTAAATGATTTGCATCCTTCATTGTTAAAGGGAAAATGTATATGTAGCCTCTATGTCAGCATTTCCTCCCTCCTTTTTAGGGCAGCAGCTGGATGAATTCCTACAGCTGGCTGTGGACAAAGTAGAGGCTGGCCTGGGCTCTGGGCCCTGTCGTAGTCAGGCCTTCACTCTTCTTCTCTGGGTAAGGAGTTGGGGGTGGAATCTGGTTAGACAGAGAGGCAATTATGTCTGGTTAAACAAAATGTCCCTATTTGACTCCAAACCATAAACTTCTGTGTCTCAGGGTTCTGGGGTTTGAGTGTCATTCCCCAATTGCTCTTTCTGTCTCCAATTACAGGTAACGAAGGCCCTAGTGCTCAGATACCATCCTCTCAGCTCCTGCCTTACAACCCAGGTATGTTCTTTCTGGAGACAGGAGAACCCAGGACTTAAACAAACTTTCTTGATAATTCTATTCCTCCCAAAGACGTCTATCCTCGTGTGTGTGTGTGTGTGTGTATTTTGGGTTTTTTTGAGATGGGCTCACACACAGTTGCCCAGGCTGGGGTGCAGTGGGGTGATCACAGCCCACTGCAACCTCATCTGCTGTAGGCTCAGGTGATCCTCCCACCTCAGCCTCCCAAGTAGCTGGGATGTAGGCACACCCCACCACACCCAGCTAATTTTTGTGAGAACAGGGTTTAGCCATGTTGCCCAGACTCCTAGGCTCAAGCAATCCACCTGCCTTGGCCTCCAAAAAGTGCTAAGATTACAAGGGTAAGCCAACACACCCAGCCCCATCCTCGTCTTTGACACTTCTTCCCTGATGTACCTCAAAGGCTCTCTTTTCTCCAGCTCATGGGCCTCCTGAGTGACCCAGAATTAGGTCCAGCAGCAGCTGATGGCTTCTCTCTGCTCATGTCTGACTGCACTGATGTGTTGACTCGTGCTGGCCATGCTGAAGTGCGGATCATGTTCCGCCAGCGCTTCTTCACAGATAATGTGCCTGCTTTGGTCCAGGGCTTCCATGCTGCTCCCCAAGGTGAGGAGTCTGAAAGAAAGGCCCCACACATACACACCTCTCCTTTGCTTGTCCACATTACCCGATAACTTAGGACCTGCTTGCTTCTTTAGAGCTATATTGTGGTCTGTGCCTAGGAGACTGAACTTCTAGATTCTTGTCCCACTTCTTCCTTTGTGGGTGTATCTTGTTTATTCTAAACATGAAGGGCTTTTCACCCCTTTGTAGGCTGATGTCTCAACCTCATCACAGATCGGAATTGAATTCTCAAGCTATGTATCTAAGCCCAATTTCTCTCCTAAGCTTTCCCATTTTTTTACAGGTGTGAAGCCAAACTACTTGAAGGGTCTTTCTCATGTACTTAACAGGCTGCCCAAGCCTGTGCTCTTGCCAGAGCTGCCCACAGTAAGTCCTGCAGGTAGAACCTCTAAGCGAAGGACAATTCTTTCCCAGATGGGGCTAGAAAGGGAGGGTACAAGAACCAGGATCTGCATGATGTGGCCATCCCACACCTTGCCCATTGCCCCTTAGCTTCTTTCCTTGCTGCTGGAGGCCCTGTCCTGCCCTGACTGTGTGGTACAGCTCTCTACCCTCAGCTGCCTTCAGCCTCTTCTACTGGAAGCACCCCAAGTCATGAGTCTTCACGTGGACACTCTCGTCACCAAGTTTCTGAACCTCACCTCTAGCCCTTCCATGGTATGTTGAGCCCCAGCAACTCTCAGGAACCAGCAGCTCTCCCTGGGTCTGCTCTCACCTCCTTGTGGTTGTGTTCCAGGCCGTCCGGATCGCCGCACTGCAGTGCATGCATGCTCTCACTCGCTTGCCCACCCCTGTGGTAAGTACCTCAGGTGCCCCTCTCTGGCCTGGGACCGTCTCAAGAGACAGATAAATACCTTTTTGCCTTAGTCGAGTGGGCTTGGCTGTTTCAATTACACCCTGCTGTGTAATTGAGATCTGAATTACAAGGTACAGATAAGCAAGGATTCTTTTCCTTGGGCCCAGAAGGTAACAGAATGGCCATCCCTTGGAATCACTAAAGATGTTTCAGTTTCCTCAGAATATTAGTTGTACAGAATCAAAAAAGGGGCACTTTCAGTTGCCTTGGATGAGCAAGGTTGATTATATCCTCTGACTCCACAGCTGCTGCCATACAAACCACAGGTGATCCGAGCCTTAGCCAAACCCTTGGATGACAAGAAGAGACTGGTGCGCAAGGAAGCAGTGTCAGCCAGAGGGGAGTGGTGAGTTTCTAGGCCATGGGGAGAAATGGGACCGAGATGAGCCTTACCACTAATGCTGCCAACTTTCTTTTTGCCTACAGGTTTCTGTTGGGGAGCCCTGGCAGCTGAGCTGTCAGTCCTGGCCTAGACTGTTCTGACAATCTAACCTGGAATTACTAACTATGGAGCCATCATCCCCAAAGCAGGGAAACTGCTGGCCTCTGCCTGCCTTTCCTACAGACACAGCACAAATGCTAGGCTTCTGTTGCATGGAGCATAAGGTCCAGATTTCTAGTGGATTTGTGCATTAACTGTGAGACACTTGTGTTTGAAGAAAGATCTAGGGTCTTGGGTCTCTTGCATTTGTATGTCAGAGAAGGGGTAATATGCTGCTGAGGGGTGAGTGCATATGACTGTGGCCCTGAGGACCAGGGGTGGTGGCTGTGTGTGCACCTGCTGAAGAATAAAGATGTCTTTTGGTAATGGGACTGTCAGACATTTCCCCCACCCAACATATGCCTCGTAGAACCAGAGGCATTACTAAACTAAGCTGGAAGAACAATGATGACAGGGACTGGCCAAAAATTTTTCAGGGTAACCAACAAAGTAGCTCATGCCTGTAACCCCAACACTTTAGGAGACTGAAGCAGGAGGATTGCTTGAGGCAGGGAGTTTGAGACTGGTCCTGGGCAATATAGCAAGAACCCATCTCCACAAATAATTTAAAAAATTCGGCTGGGCATGGTGGCTTACGCCTGTAATCCCAGCATTTTGGGAGGCCAAGGGGGGTGGATCACTGGAGGTCAGGAGTTCAATACTGGGCAACTTGGTTAAACCCCATGTCTACTAAAAATGCAAAAATTAACCAGGTGTGGTGGCACACGCCTTTACTTGGGAGGCTGAGGCACAAGAATCGCTTCAACCTGGGAGGCGGAGGTTGCAGTGAGTTGAGATCATGCCAAAGTGTAAGAGGCATGACCAGAATACCTACTCACTAGGTCTTGACACTGATTTTCCCCTTCCCCACCCTATTGTGAGGCAGAGTGAGGAGCTACATACCTTTAAAATCGAATGCCTTTATTTTTTGCTCCCTTCAGCAGCATGTGAGAAGTGGCAGTGACCTCAGCAGCAGGCCTGGTATCTTTGTCCTGTTGAGAAGCCAGGATCTCAGCTGTACTAGTCAGGTATTTTTTCAGACAGCAAGTAGAGGTGGTGGCCAACTCCAATGCTGTATCCTGGAGGAGGTCTGGGTCAGCACTGGGTAAGGTAGGTAGCTAGCTGCCTGACCCCTAGTCTGGGGCTGGAACTTCTGTTTGCCTGAGTAAAGGGATGTCAGTCCTAAGATTTATCCACATTGTGTCTTGCTTCTGCAGTGGTGAAAAGGCTGGTCCTTGAATTGTCCTGCATGGTACCCTAAGGCAGGCCCACTGGCTCTTTTTGATCAAGGATTCCAAGAAAAGCTGCCCTTGGAGGCCCTTAAAATAACATAGGAAGCAGAATGAGTGCTCGAGTTGTGGCTGACACAATCTAGCTCACACTGCCATCACAGAGGCTGAGTGAGCAGTCACCCAGGGAGGGGGCTCCCAGCTCATTCCATTCCCATGGGGCAGGTGACTAGAAGGTAAGAGCACCCGAGTAAGCCAATGCCTAGAAGAGAAGAGAGAAATCTGTCTGAGTTCCAAGAATTCTTGGTCCTTAATCATTCCCTGGCAAGCATACATCAAGGTATCCTGAAGCTACCTCGGTGTCAATCATGAAGGTAACAAAAGTTCTAATTTCTTCTATCCAATTTTATCCAACAAATTGTACCTTCTGGTGCCTTGAAGGCCTGTTGAGGTTTCATGCTAAACTTCTAAAGGGCCACTGTAAGCACAGTGATAGGAGGAGTGTCACATGCATGGGAAAGGGAGGAGGGAAGGCACGTCCACTCATCTGATTGTTAATGCCTCAGTAACCGCCATTTGAAAAACTGTTTCCCCTTGTCTTGGGCTGAGCGAGCTAGCTCCAATTACTGTCTTAGGGCCTCTGTCACAAATAGGTTATTTTAATCTCACAAATTATTGGCTTGAACTCTACACACTGCTCACCAAGTGAGAGGTGATTGGTGGCCAATGCATCCTACACCCAAAGGCCCCTTCCTGAGCACAGCTTTCCTAGGATTCTACTGTAGTCATGTTGAAGCCTCATCGGTTACTTACAACTACAGTGTTAGCCTCAAGCCTCTCTGGCTCACATGAACAATGATCTCTCTTCCTAGAGTCTAGAACTGCACTAACACCGTAGCCACTAGTCATAGTCCAAGTGCTCACAGGTATAAAACATCTTCCTTATCACAGCGTTCTGTTGGATGGCATTAGTCTAAGTGTTTTACGTTACCTTCCTGTATCCACACCCAGGAATACCTTCCAGTTGTCCAAGCAGCCATAGTTGTAAGGATTCCTAAATACCTGGAGCCAAGAAAAAACACGTTTCTTCAAACTTCTAATTTTTGAGACTAAATTGGCTAAGCTAAAGCTCAGGTAGAGTAGTTCTGGCCTTTTACGATGCTTGCATTAGCCCTGTCCCTGGCCTCTGTTTATAGGAGAGCAGGTTTAGTTACCCACCTACCCACCCTGAGCCTTCAACTCTACTCACTCTGCCTTTGGCCTGTAGCCGACGTCTCTCCTTCTTGTTGATGTGCCTTTCAATGCTAGTCTCACCTCGACTGATGAGAACAGCATGCCATATAGTTAGGGCACCCAGGGCAAGCGCCACAGAACTAAAAAAAAGAGGGGCAAAGACTGGTAGGTAGTTTAGAAGTATGTCTGAAATTGAGCTAAGCAGTAACAACTGGCTTGTAACCTCTCTACCTAAGTCTTCCTCACCACCCAGCATATATCCTAGATAAACTTTTACTTCACTATGTCTATAAAGAGCATGTGTGAAAAAGCATCAGTGAGGCCTAAGAATAAACAATGTGAACCCAGGCATGGTAGCTCATGCCCAGTAGTCCCAGCAACTCAGGAGGCTGAGAGAAATATCATTGGAGTCTAGCCTGGGCAACATGCAAGACTCCATCTCTTTGTTGTTGTTAAGGGAAAATAAGAGTATGTGGAAAGGAGGGTAGAGAAATAAGTCTATAGTTCCTAAAATACCCACGCTTGGGAGATAGTAGGAGGTAGTAAAAGCACCCAGGGTTGGAATGGGATGGCATGAAATTCAAATTCCAGTGCTACCACTCCTACTAGCTGTGATCATAGAACAAGTCACTTCACTACCCCTTGGCCCCTAATTTTCAGTTTCCCTCATCTATAAATACAGTCACTCAGCCTTTAGACAGGTGCAATGAAGATTAAACTTTGGTACATATCAGCATATGCTTGTATCCGTGTGCTTAGTAACAAACAATGCCAATATCCTCAGTGTTCCCTGCCCTGAAATGCTGAAGAAAAGTGCTGGCTCTTTGCCAACCTAGACTAGAACAGTGGCAGTTCACTCAGGCATGGGTTTCTACCTGCATGTGGGCACCTAAAAAAAATTTTTTTCTAAAGCTTCCCCTCCCTTAAAACTATCAAAAATGAGAAATAAATACCTGCACAGGAACCAGAGGTAGACAAGACTCTTATGAGTCATCCTTTCTCGAAAGGAGAAGGTGGGTGGTGGGGTCTGGTGGTAAGTCTAGAAAAAGAAAACAGTAAAGCCTGGCTCATTTACTCTGTGGGTCTCTAGCAACTGCCCCCGGCACCTATAGGCAGGAAGTGATCCAAACCCAGGCAGAGAAAATGGGGTAAAGCCACAGAGGAGTCAAGACAGCAGCCAAGATGGGTGGACCAAGCCCAGCAGCATCACCACGTGGACAAACACTGGGCAGCAGAGCAGGGTCTGGACAGGATGGCAAAGCACAGGAGGAACTGACCCTGGGCCTTGACAACACAAATGGGGCTCCAGGGGAAGCCACTCCAATCCCCAGCCAGAACTCCCTCACTGTGCACTGCATCCCCAAGGGAGAAGACCAGACCGTACCCAGAATGGACTGACTGGGGTGGGGAGAACCACTAGGGACTGTGAATGGGCAGCAGAAATACAATTAATATGGGCCCAAGATAGGCTCAGCAGATTAAGGAGTCCTAAAAGGTTCTGGGGGGCAGGGATGATCTAGATGCAGATGGACCAGGAGCAAGGGATGATCAGACTGGCTCAGCCTGATCTCTGTCCCCTGGAACCCCATTACACAGACTAACATAGACTCCTTGCTGCTCAGGCCGTCACCAAGGCAGATTGCTTGCTTGGCCTAAAGAGAGGTGATGATAGGATAGGTAGCCAAAACGGTCACATACCAGGGACTTCCAGCTTGCCTATAGGCCACTTAGTCTACTCAACACAGCCAGCCTGCCTGAACACTCCTGATCTGGTCTACAGTGGCCTCTGAGCAGCCTCTACAACTATACAGGCAGGTCTGCCCCAGGTGCCTGAGAACTCTATGCCCCCGGGCCTGAGCAGCAGGAGGCAGTGGGATTGGGACAGCCCACCTGGTTGGCAACCGCCTGTAGTTTGTTCTTGTCGAGCTGTTTCATTTTCTAAGGGGATGGAAAACAGTGCTGGTTATACTCCTAGGCCTCTAGGATGGGTGCTACCAGCCCCCTTAGGGACAGGTTCTATATCCCCAAGTTCTGCACTACTGTGCTGTCTTGTTCCTGACAATGAGCTCACCTCAATGGCAGCATAAGCCTCCCGGAAAAGGTCCCAACTTCCATAGCTGCAGTACACACAGCCCAGAGTCATGAAGAAGCAGAAAGAGAAGAAGTACCGATGGTTATAGTGGCCCACACAATTGTTTAGCCAGGCTGGTTGGCAAATGATTAAGGACAAGAATCAAACACAATTTCAAATGGTGTCCAGGCCCCTCTGGTTCATGACAACATCACCCAAGCTTCAGGCTTCCAGTCACTAAGAACTACTTTCCAAAGGCAGGAAAATACAAGACTGTTTACACCCAAGGTTGAGGTGAAAGTGCTCAATGTTTTTCAGAGCACTCAAGTCCCATCAGGAAGTCACAGAAACTGAAATCCTTCAGAAAAATGAATCTGCTGATATTTCAGCCTAGCTGGAGTTAGCCAAACATCTCTGTGGAACAGCACATGGGGGACCCAGCGGACAACCACAGAAACCCAAACATCTCTTCCCATCCAATAGCTATTAGCATGAGAATCTACAAAACAAAAAGCTGTTAAAAGATTCCTTGATCCAAGAAGATCTGTCCTAGTGTGTCTGTGAGCTTCCTTCTCCCCCAGGAGATGGTCAGTCCCCACAACTCCTCAACTCCAGTGTTCTCTGCAGGGTGATGCTAAAATTGTGGCCACTAACCCTGTACAGTGCTCTGGCGCTAAGGTGGCCTCAGGCAGAAGGGAAAGCAAAAGGATACGGCAGTGATGATCCATCTTCAGCACACACCTGTGAGGAAGGGACACAGGCTCTGTTACGGTGGCCAAAGTTCTTGAGATGTCAGTGCCAATCCTTTCCTACAAGGACCAGCATCCTGCTGAGGTGGAAAGGGCACGGACTTTGAAGACAGCCAGGCCTTGTTTCAAACCCAGCTCTGCAGCTTAATGGCAGTAAGAAATTGGACAAGGTAACTTATCTTGCCAAGCCTCGGTTTTCACAAGTGGTAGTAATGCCTAACTCACAGGACCATCCTAAAGATGAGGTGTCAGAAGAGGGTGCCTGGGACATGAAAGGTGCTTCATCCATGTCCTAGCAAACTCAAGGTTAGGTTTTTCCCTAGGGCTACAGCAGAAGGACCACATGGGGGTTCCCAGAGAGCAAAGCCAAGACCCACCTGTTGCAGATGCTGCAGTGGTGTGTTCTGGCTGGCTTGGGGTAAATGCATTTCTTACAGATGGAGACCATGGCAATATCATTCCTGCCCTGTGTGAAGGGAGAGCAGAACTGTCTCTCAAAACATACCAAGGTACTCTTCCCACTCCTGGGACCAGCTCCCATAGCCAGCAACTCCCCCCAGTTCCCCTGTGAGGACCCACCTGGGGTGGGTATCCAGGCGGAGTGGTGATGGCCTGGTAATAGTGGAAGACAATGAGGATCAGATTCCAGTGGCTATAGAAGAAATGCCAGCAGAGTCGTGGCACTGAATAGGTTCGGAGGATGAGAGGCAGGACACACAGGTAGGCAATAGCCACAATGGAGCCTGTCAGCACAATCACCAGCACCACGAACACCTGCCAACACCAGCGAGGTCAGGGAGACATAGTGTTAAGAGCTACACCCAAAGCAGACTCGGAGTTTCCCTGAGGGTGGGGGCCACCGCCAAAACCTGAGTTGGGTCTGTCAGAGACATGTCCCTCTGCTCCCCACAACACCCCATTTCCTGCTCCCTGGACATCACTCACCACTCCAAACCAGCGGATCACGTTGTCTACCAGCCAGTAGACAGGCTCAAAGGCAGCATCGACAGCGGTGTCACTGCCCCCAAAGGAGTTGTAGAGCAGGGAGCGCAGGCAGACCTTGCCATAGCGCCAGCGCTGTACTAGACCCCGGAGCAGAGGTGGACAGCGGCGCCTGTAGCCCAGCAGCAGAAGCAGGCGGAGGCAGAGGCGGGCCGGGCCTAGCAGCAGGCTCCGCTGGCCTCGCATGGTTCCTAGGAGAGCACACCATTGTGAGAATCCAGCCTGAGACCTCCCTCCCTAACCTGCTAGTGGGAAGGCCTAGAGTACTCACTCAAAGGGCAAAGACCTAAGTACTAAGACCCAGCTGGGCAAGTCACCAGCTGTGAGAAACAGGAAGGTTATTTTTCTATGGACTGGCCAGTGCCAGCGTCCCAACCAGATTAAGGGGGTAGAAACTGATGGTTCTGAACCTGCAGAAATCGTATTTATATTACACCACATGGGTGCACAGCAAATCCAAGGTGATGCGCACCTAAAGCAACAGGCCACATTAAAGGGGTGAGAAAGGCCACCCCAAGCCAAAGCAATCTCAGGAGTTGTCTGTGTAGGCAGACCTCTGGGTGAAGTGTGGCCAACATGGACAAAGCTACCCACTGTGTCTCAGACATGGCCACCATAGCACAGATTACCAGGGCTTCCTGACTGCCCTGGAGCATCAACCTACCTCCAAATGATTGCTCCTCACCAAACAACAGCCAGTGGAGGAGTGAGTGCACAGAATGTGGATCCTGCACCGAGATATTTCCCGGTGCTATTTAAGTCCTGGCAAAAGATACGCCTCCTTCCCACTCCCTCTGGGCTGATGTCATAGACTAGCAGACTCAACCTGGTAGCATGAGATTCCCTGTCTCCTGTCAGGACAGCCAGCTGCCGCTTGCATGACAGAAGATGCTTTGTCTCCAATTCTACTCCCAGCCCCACCCCAAGGCCATGGTAGCCAAGACAACTCCAGGTATTCCGAGCAGAATACCACAGGAAGGAGTCACAAGCCATGGGAGGGTACCTCCATGTTGGTTCATGAAGGCCTTGGAGCCTGACCTCTCTGATGGACTCCACTGCCCCAGTCTAATTAGACACTCGCAAAACTTCTCTGCAGCTGCTGTCTTATCCCCAAGCTGCCCAACCAGACTTCCCAGTTCACTGCTTCCATGGCACCTCTGCCAGTGCCTCTGTCTCCTCTATGCAGTTTCTACCTCATCCAGCAGCCATGGGAAGAGATCAGCTGCCTGGACAATGACCAGAACAGAAGACACAAATGCACTAACAGATTTTTCAATGACAGTTTCATCAGTTCTGCAGATAAAAGACTTTTATAACCAGAAAAGAAATTATCTGATTTTGCCCTGAGGCAGCAGGGAGAGCTGCTTTGTCCTTGACAACCCCACTGACTTATTTAACAGGTAGCTCAAAACCCAACAGAAACTGGAGGAGGCTGCTCCACTGCATGGAGGGTTTCAATTCAGTAACTGGAGCATGGTACTCTCCTTGCAGCCTGGCTCATCTCCACAAAAGACGTTTCAAAGAAAACACTTAATTACCTCCTTGCACAAGTCCTGTAAGCCCTAAAGTGAAAAGAAACTAAGCAGACAAGGCTTACAAAGAGAAGACAGTTCAGAAGGGACCTACACTCAGCACCAGTATTAAGAAACTGTCCATTCCTATCACCTCCTAAGAAGCTAAAAGAATTAAGGGGAGTGTAGAAAACAGAAAAAAAGGCCAGGCGTGGTGGCTCACACCTGTCATCCCAACACTTTGGGAGGCAGATCACTTGGGGTCAGGAGTTTGTGACCAGCCTGACCAACATGGTAAAACCCCATCTCTACTGAAAGTACAAAAAATTAGCTGGGCATGGTGGCACATGCATGTAATCCTAGCTACTCAGGAGGCTGAGGCAGGAGAATTTGAACCCAGGAGGTGGAGGTTGCAGTGAGCCGAGATCATGCCAGTGTACTCCAGCCTGGGCAAGAGAACAAGACTCCATCTCAAGGAAAAAAAAAAAAAAAAAGCTCAAACTTCCACTCCTATTGTTTGGAACCATGATGTGATTTGTAGCATAAGTTTTAAAATAGCAGATACACACAATTAAATGTTAAGAGTGGGATAAAACAGATTACTCCACAACAAACCTAGGTGGCTTTTGGACGTCCATACCGCTGTTGTTCCCTTTCTACAGATAATGGAGAGTTCCCTATTTGCCTAAATACTTTTTGTAGCAATAGCATGCAAATCCAATGCATTCCTCATTTGTAATAAATTCATATTATATGCTATCTCACACCTCTTCTACTCTTAAAAAAAAAATCTTTCTATTCTCCACTTTTCAGATTACTCTCAACCATGTCCTAAATTTGGAGAGCTACAGGAAATGCCTGCCTCAAGGACTACATTTACCCAATTCCTTAGGGTTCAATTCTGTCCCTAAGCAGTTCTGTAACCTCAGACAAATCTTTTTTTTTTTTTTTTTTAAATGGGGTTTCACCATGATGACCAGGCTGGTCTTGAACTCCTGACCTCAGGTGATCCACCCACCTCGGCCTCCCAAAGTGCTAGGATTACAGGCATGAGCCACCAGCCCGGCCAACCTCAAACAAATCATTTAACCCTGCTGGGACTCAATATCCTTGTATTCACATTCAGTGAGGGAGTAGGATTAAATGCTAAAATCCCTTCCAGCTTTAACCCTTTATAATTCTGTAACTATACAGTTAACCCCCATATCTTCAGAGGGATTGATTCCAGTCCTCTTCAGATACCAAAATCCATGGATGTTCAAATCTGACATAAAATGGCATAGTATTTGCATATAACCTACACATATCCTCCCATGTACTTTAAATTTTAAATCATTTCTAGATTACTTACAATACCTAATACACAAAGTAAATGCTACATAAACAATTTTTTTGTTTTTGAGATGGAGTCTCACTCTGTTGCCCGGGCTGTAGTGCAGCAGCAAGATCTCAGCTCACTGCAAACTCCGCCTCCTGGGTTCAAGCAATTCTCCCTGCCTCAGCCTCCCACATAGCTGGGATTGTAGCAGCCTGCCGCCTCGCCCAGCAAATTTTTGTATTTTTAGTAGAGACGGGGTTTCGCAATGTTGGCCAGGCTGGTCTCGAACTCCTGATCTCAGGTGATCTGCCTGCCTCGGCTTCCCAAAGTGCTGGGATTACAGGTGTGAGCTACCATGCCCAGCCACCCCCAAATATTTCCAATCCATGGTTGGTTGAATCCTTGATGTGAAACTCGAAGATATGAAGGGCAAACTGTACTTGGTAAGTGTAAATGAAATGTTTATAAAGCACTTAGCACAATACCTGGCTCATGGAAGTACTCAATAAATATCTGTTGAATGAATGACCTGGAGGGATGCAGAAGTGGAAAGTCCAGCCAGATGTCTATCAGTCCTACAAATACCAACAAGGACACTCCTGCCAATGTGATAACACTAAATAAGTGTCTGCTGCTATCATTCTTCCTGATTAATAAAGAGAAATACAAACTATTATTAACATCATAGCACTTAGGAGCTAGAAGTTGTTTTTTAAAACAAGTTCAACCAGAAATCAGCCCAACTATGTGAAAAGCTCCTAGACACCGGACATGGGGGCTCATGCCTATAATCCCAGCACTTTGGGAGGCCAAGGCGGGCAGATCACCTGAGGTCGGGAGTTTGAGACTGGCCTGACCAACATGGAGAAACCCCCGTCTCTACTAAAAATACAAAATAAGCCAGGCATGGAGGTGCATGCCTGTAATCCCAGCTACATGGAAGACTGAGGTGGGAGAATCACTTGAACCTGAGAGGTGGAGGTTGTGGAGAGTCAGATCATGCCATTGCACTCCAGCCTGGGCAAGAGGGACAAAATTCCATCTCAAAAAAAAAATAAGAAGAAAAATAAAAAACTCCTAAATGCATAGATACAGATTTAGGTGAACAAAGTCTGAGGCTAGGGCCTCTCCCCTTTAGCTAATGGGGTAGGGGATGCCAGGAAAATGATATATGTAGTAAGTGGGCTACAACTGAACACATAGACTTTTCATCTCAGGACACTGAGGTAAAGCAAAATTCAGAAAGATGTGTGGGGGGAAGAAGGGCAAAGTGTAGCCTCACTACCACCCCAAGCAGAAGCCCCGAGTACTGTGATCCCTCAGAGTAGTCACCACAGGCCATAGTCATGATCTGCCACCAGACTGGAGGAGACTACAGGCCACAGCCTCCCTTCTTCCCATGGCTCTAAGTCACCATCTGTTTCCCAAGGGGAAAGTCGACTGAGGGGAACAGGGACACACGGCAAACGCCATCAGAAGTCAGGTGAACAACTGAGATCAAAGACGCTGCTCTTAGGATGTTTGCAATTCCAAGTAGGAGATACCAGACATCAATGAAGAGTAGCATTTTATTCATGTGCAGATCTCCCTTCTGGGCTAACACGCTGAGAAGAAAAAGAATAGCAACTTTATTTTGGGGCTGCTCATCTTTTCATGAGGGGCCCACACAACCAGAGCTCGACTTTTTCAACCTGAGAAAGCTCACTGAAGTAGGGATGGGGGGCCGTGAAGAGGATCAGAACGCAGGACTGAAAGCTGCGGTTTAAAAAACCGGGAAAAGGACCAGGCGCGGTGGCTCACGCCTGTTATCCTAACACCTTGGGAGGCCGAGGCGGGTGGATCACCTGAGACCAAGAGTTCGGGACCAGGCTGGCCAACAAGGTGAAACCCTGTCTCTAAGTACAAAAATTAGCCAGGCACGGTGACACACGCCTGTAATCCCAGCTGCTTGGGAGGCTGAGGCAGAACTGTTTGAACCCAGGGGGCGTAGATTTCAGTGAGCCGAGATCACGCCACTACACTCCAGCCTGGCGACAGAGCGAGACCCCGTATATATTTAAAAAAACAAACAAACAAACAGGAAAAGGTTTTATTTCTCAATGAGAGCCACGAGGTGAAACTGCGACGGTCTGTAAGTCAAAAACCGTGGGTTCCAGTTTGGGCTCTATCTTAACTATCTTCAAGATTTTGGACAAGCCAAACCCTGTCTCTGAATCTGAGGTTCCCTATCTGTGAAATGGAGGGGGTCGCTTGACCTCCTTCCTTCCGGCTCTATGCCTAACGGTTGCTCGGAAGGTGTGCTCCGGCGGAGGAAGACACGGCCCCGCAGGGCGGGGCGGGGAGAGAGCAGGAACCCGGACTCAAGACAAGGCCTCAGGGCAGTGCCCGACCCAAAAAAAGGGACTAGGATTGGGAGCAAGGGCCGAGGCTTCGCCCTTACCTGCCGCCTGCCGACTCCCCAGTCAGCCAAACCGAGCCCCGCAGCCTCTGCCGCCGCTCACTGCCACCCCTTCTGACTCGGCGCCCCGGCCGGGCCGGGCTCAATCCAACCCACCATGGCACGCAGCCCGCAGCGCCAGCCAGCGCAACCGGACCCGCCGCCAGCCCATCCTCAACCACAGGCGCAGTCGCAAGCGTGGAGCTCTGAAGTTCCGCCCCCGGATTTGTCCCGGGGTAATCTGGGAAATTGAGTTTACCCGCAAGGAGGCGCTCCTACAGATCACGTGATAAAGAACACCAATTGACGCAAGTCTTACTGCGGAACTGTGCCTGGGTTTGGCCAATGAGAAGTCGACTTCGTTTCCATCCGGGTTTGGACAGCGGCAATCATGGCGCCACCCGTCAGATACTGCATTCCCGGTAAGAGAGCGCTTCCCGTAGAGTCCTGGAAAGAGGTCGAAGCTGGAAGGCTGGACGGCCTATAGCTTCTGGGGGCCAGTGACTGATAGAGCATTTTTTCTGCAGGCGAACGTCTGTGTAACTTGGAGGAGGGCAGCCCGGGCAGTGGCACCTACACCCGCCACGGTTACATCTTTTCGTCGCTTGCCGGCTGCCTGATGAAGAGCAGCGAGAACGGCGCGGTAAAGGGAGCGGCTTGCCGTCTCCTCTCTCTCTTTTCACTTAGGCTTTCATTAAGTTCCAGTCCTTAGGCATGGCCACTGCGGACGTGTCTTTAGTGCCTCACCGGTACAACCTTGGTCTTAGTTTCTTCTAGCCGTGATCGCCGCCGTTGTGCACTTGGACACCACAAACTAGTTGTGTTGATCTCGCTTGGTTGTGCTGCTGACTCTTGGGGAGGGAGGTTGGGACAAAAGCAGATGTGAACTCAGTAACCCAGCCCAGCCCAGCAGTGAGTTGCATACTGTATGAATGTCGCTTATCTCTCCGGCTTTATCTTGCGCCACTATCTCCACCTCACTGACGCAATCTAGTCATACTGTCTTTTCTGTTTTTAAAATTTATAATCACAGTCTCTGCTTGCCCTTTTTTAAAAAATTTATAACATACTAGCTTCTCTCAATGTCGCTAAGGTGCCAAGCTTTCTCCTGCTACAGAGCCTTTGTAACATTCATCTATCTGGAACGCTTCTGTCTTCCTAGGCCCATTTAATTCCTACCTCCTTTAGATAGCTTCTGTACTATCAACTTCTCAGAGAAGCCCTTCTGGACCCACTAATTGAGGAAAGGGGTTTTGTGGGGTGTTTTGTTTTTGTTTGTTTTGTTTAAGACTCACAAAGACCTCTGTTCCTTTTATTCCAAGCATTTATGTCAGCATATGATTAGAAACTCAGGTATATGATTCCCACCAGACTTCTCCACTGCTTGAATCTAAGTTCCATGAAAGCAGGCCCTACCACCATACATTCAGTATCTAGCACAAGGCAGCTCCTCAATAAATGTTTGTTGAATGCATAATACCAAACTTTCTAGTTTTAGAAATTGATCGGGCTGGGCGCGGTGGCTCAAGCCTCTAATCCCAGCACTTTGGGAGGCCGAGGCGGGTGAATCACGAGGTCAAGAGATCGAGACCATCCTGGTCAACATGGTGAAACCCCGTCTCTACTAAAAAGTACAAAAAATTAGCTGGGCATGGTGGCGCATGTCTGTAATCCCAGCTACTCAGGAGGCTGAGGCAGGAGAATTGCCTGAATCCAGGAGGCGGAGGTTGCAGTGAACCGAGATAGCGCCATTGCACTTTAGCCCCTGGGTAACACAAGCGAAACTCCGTCTCAAAAAAAAAAAAATCAGAAATTGATCTAGGATTAGCTCAGGATCGCATAAGCAATATTTGAAGGAGCACAATAGAGGATTCAGAATTAGAACACATAGGTTCTAGCTAACTAGACCTTGATTCTGCTTTGAGTAAGTAAATTAAGCTGTCTGATTCAAGGGGCTTTCTATTCAGTCATTCTTGGGAATGTCCTTAACAGTCCTGAGTTTCTTCACTTCACAGATACCATCTGAGTGTTTTCATGTGTCAGGCACAGCGCTGACTTGGTTTCTGCTATCAAAGGACACAGACACAAATTGTAAAATAAATGCTTAAATTGTATATGGTTACATATTTGGTGACTGCTTAAAAGAATATTACAGGGCACCTTGAAAACATGTAACAACCAAACCCACCCTAGTCAGCAGAAGTGACATTTAAGCTGAATCATCTAAAGAGTAAGTAAGAGTTGGGTGGGTGGAGAGAGTGTAGTTCTGGTAGAAAGAACGGGTTGAAGAGAGATCCAAAAGTGGGAAGAATTTAGTAAGTCAGAGAAACTGAAAGAAGGCCAGGAGAGCTGAAGCATCATGACCAAGGGAGAGATTGATAAAAGATGAGGTTCAAACTATCTGTCTTACACCAACAGCCAATACCATGCTCAAAGAGCAAATGCAGCTATTCACTTAAAATAGAAGAAAACAAGCATGGCCACTATTATGTAACATTTTTGTGGGAATTTCAGCCAGGCGGGGGCTCAAGCCTGTAATCCCAGCACTTTGGGAGGCCGAGGCGGGTGGATCACGAGGTCAAGAGATCGAGACCATCCTGGTCAACATGGTGAAACCCCGTCTCTACTAAAAATACAAAAAATTAGCTGGGCATGTTGGCGCGTGCCTGTAATCCCAGCTACTCAGGAGGCTGAGGCAGGAGAATCACTTGTACTCAGGAGGCGGAGGTGGCAGTGAGCCGAGATCGTGCCACTGGACTCCAGCCTGGGCAACAAGAGTGAAACTCCATCTCAAAAAAAAAAAAGAAAAAAATTATCCATGATTATAGGCAGTATATAGTTGTATACCAAGAAATTCCAAGAGAATCACCAAAAAACTTACTAGAACTCATCTAGAATAGTGAGATTTATGTCTTAGCAGCATTCTGTAACCTCTTTTTCCTACTATTTCCTAAAGTTTCTAATGTCTTCTGCTCTGGGCTATAAATGAATCTGTACTCCAACTCTCAACTGTGTACTAAGGCATTCCTATGTTACTCTCAAGCCACAAATGCCTTGACCCAAGGGTTAGCCAGGACATTTCAGTTTTTTGTTGTTCCCTCTGTAGCTTCCTGTGGTGTCTGTAATGAGAGAAACAGAGTCCCAATTACTGCCAGATGTGGGAGCTATTGTAACCTGTAAGGTAAGACGGTTCTAACCTCCATGCTTTGAATGCCCTTTCAATACTGAAATCATGATCATGCTAGAACTGCAGTGTCCAGTATGATAGCCACAAGCTACATATGGCTACTTAAACAGTATTAAAAATTTATTTCTGGCTGGGTGCAGTGGCTCATACTGCATCTAGCACTTTCAGAGGCCAAGGCAGGAGGATTGCTTCAGCCTAGAGTTCAAGACTATCCTGGGAAACAGTGAAACCTCATCTCTACAAAAAGAATCAAAATTAGTCAGGCATGGTAGCACATGCCTGTGGTCCTAACTACTTGGGAGGCTGAGGCAGGAGGATCACTTGAGCCCAGGGGGTTGAAGCTGCAGTGAGCCATGATTGCTTCAGCCTGGGTGACAGGGCAAGACCCTGTCTCTCAAACACAAACAAAAAAAAACATTTATTTCCTTAGTCACATTAGCCACATTTCAAGTACTCAGTAGCCACTTGAGGCTGATGGCTGCTATACTGGTCAGCACATGAAAAACATTTATTTCCTTGGTCACATTAGCCACATTTCAGTGGCTAATGGCTGCTGTACTGGTCAGCACATGACTTTTCTATCATGACACAAAGTTTTACTGGACTGTGTTGGTCTATCCATTTCTAGGATAATAATCAAGGCAGCCAAGTTCAGGCATGTTTAGTTCCTTCACTTAGTTGATTCCCAGAATATATAGTTTCTACCTGCGTCTGGGAAACAGGATGCCAGAGGATGATTAGGAGGCCTATTTTTTTATTTTATTTTTTATTTTTTAAATTTTTTTGAGACAGAGTTTCGCTCTTGTTACCCAGGCTGGAGTGCAATGGCGTGATCTCAGCTCACCGCAACCTCCACCTCCTGGGTTCAGGCAATTCTCCTGCCTCAGCCTCCTGAGTAGCTGGGATTACAGGCACGTGCTACCATGCCCAGCTAATTTTTTGTATTTTTAGTAGAGACAGGGTTTCAACATGTTGACCAGGATGGTCTCGATCTCTTGACCTCGTGATCCACCCGCCTCGGCCTCCCAAAGTTCTGGGATTACAGGCTTGAGCCACCGCGCCCGGCCTAGGAGGCCTATTTTTAAACAGCCTAAGCTGAGACCTTTTTCTGCAGAGAAGCAAAAGACTTTATTTTCTGGCATTCCTGGATTTGATTTTTTTCTTTTCTTTCTTTTTTTTTTTTTTTTTTGAGACAGGGTCTTGCTCTGTTGCCCAGGCTAGACTGCAGTGGCGTGATCTCAGCTCACTGCAGCCTCCACCTCCTGGGTTCAGGCAGTTCTCCCGCCTCTGCCTCCCCATTAGCTGGGATTACAGGCGTGCGTATACATGGGGGTTTTAGCATGTTGGCCAGACTGGTCTCAAACTCAGCCTCAAGTGATCCACCCACCTTGGCCTCCCAAAGTGCTGGGATTACAGGGATGAGCCTCCACATCCAGCCTGTTTCTGTTTTTGTTTTAATGTTAGCCTTCTATACTTTTAAAAATCTATACCTCTATGAAGGGCAAGTTATGAGATTTTAAAAAAAAAACACCATATTATTTGATTCCCATAGTAATTATCAGTTGCAGTGAGCTGTGATTGCACCACTGTACTCCAGCCTGGGTGACAGAGTGAAATCCTGTCTCAAAAACTAAATAAATTAATTAAAGTAAAAAGAATTGAGTGAAGCTGAAGTTTAGTAGTGTCAGGCTGACTCAAACCAAAATAGAAGGCATTTTAGGAAGTATTTTTTTTTTAATTTAGTATCTATCAGGTGACCAAAGTGACTCTTACTCCCCTTTACATGTATCACTTATGCAGAGAGAAGTAGGAGTTAACTTGTCTTAAATTCTGTACTTAGTAGGGTTTCTTGCACTAAAGTCCTAGTAATTCACAGTTTATTGCTGCCTCCTTGAGCTGGCAACTGCTTATACTCTGATGCTGATCATTTCTCTATCCTACAGGTCTCCAGCATCAATTCGCGCTTTGCCAAAGTACACATCCTGTATGTGGGGTCCACACCACTTAAGAACTCTTTTCGAGGAACTATCCGGTGAGAAGTA